ATTGAATAGTGACTTTAGGAATGGCATGCTAAATCACATGTCTGCAAATCAAACGCTCTGTAGTGATGCTCTAAAGAGCATTGGGTCTGTTGATGTCATGTGGAGCTATCAATAAAGGTTATTAGGTTATAGATTTCAAAGATTATTTTCCATTTTGTTTTTATCTAAATTTAATTGAATAACAAGTTTTTAAAAATTAAATTTTTCTGAAAACCCGGGTACTCATACTTACTATCTTATTATAGTTATATTACCAATCTTTGCCACTTTTTCTGTGCTATTTATAAATCAACCTAAAATCTCTCTCCCAGTCTATTTTTTGAAACCCCATCATATGCATAAAAGCCAGTTTGTAACATTAATCTGAATTTTCAATGCACATCTTTCTGCTACATATTTCTTAATACACATTTTGAGATTTTTTTTTTATATTACATCATACTGTGATCCCAGACAAGGGAAAATAAAGCCATCATATTTGATATAACTAGCTCAGTTCATTTTAGCCACACGACGAAGCTTTGTGTTGAAGCCTGCAACTGAAAAACCTATTGACTGGACTGCCTCTCTTACTGATGAGTCCCAGCACTTATGAATATTTTACAGCTGAGTAAGAGATAGCCTTATCATGCTTTCACTCTGCTGCTCTGATGCTAAACCACTGTTTCAGTCGCAGTCTCCTCTGCAAAGCCAAAATGGAAAAGTGTATTTTTTTTTTTTTTTTTGCTGTTGTGAGCAGCTCATACAATGTCCTTTATTTCTACAAATGTGATCAAAACCTGTTTCCCCTGGAAGTAAATATCAGTCCTGTTTATTAAATCCAGTTTTGATATAAAGCTGAAGCTTAGATAGCAGCTGTCTTCACATGTTCCGCTTCTCATTGAGAAAATAAAAGGGAGCCAAAACTAAAGCTATTTTCTTTTTTGTTCGCTGACATATATTGGATCTCGTCTTGTTTTTTCATTTAAACACAAATCTGTGGTTACCAAGGAGACAGAAAACTAATAGAAAAAAGGACGTTGTATATTTTTCTAATTTTCATGGAAAAGAGACAACATAAAGCAATTACACTGGTCTTTGCTCTAAGCTCCCACTTTGCTTATTTAATTCCAAAGCATTTTCCAAATACAGTTTTGATGGAAATCATTGTGAAAATTTTGCCTCATCCATGCTGTAAAAGTTCTGCTAAATCCCTGAAGAATTATTATTTTTTACTGTAAGGTTAATGGTAATTTCAAATATTCATAATTCATACACAGTTTTTAAGCTAGTTTATTAATTTGAATGCATTTAACTCTGCACGATCTTAGCGACGACTTTACTTATATATACACCATTTATGCCCCCAATAAGGACATAAAAAATATATTCTTTCTTTACATTTCACATTTACCAATGTTTATAAGAGGCTTTCACCAACATTCATAGTATCAAAATGCTCTGATCAATTGTAAGAGTGAAATTATTTTAGTTTGCCTGATACTAAATATTCCAAATATTGCTTTTTTATCAAGAACTTTTAATTTAATGCATTAAATGTCTCATAAAAGTAGTTTCCTTTGCACTGTACTTGAAAGCTGTTCTAAACCTTTACTATAAATAGTAAATAGCAAATACAATGAATTAGAAACTCTTCAATTGAATGTGATATAATACCGTATATGATAAAATTAAGATAAAATATCTAGGACTAAACACAGAGCCTTGTTGAACACCACAAGTAACCCTTAATAATAAAGCTTAAATAATTGATCTTGACATGATGTTACCAATTATTCAAGTAACATGTTGTTAATATTCCTCTGTTATTCATTTATTTTAATGTATCTCTTGCTTTTTAATTATCTCTCTTTGATAAATACTTTAAAAAGTTCCTAAAGTCAATAAATTCCCTTATTTAGTTTCTACATCTACAATTATATGCATTAGTGACACTGAGGTGGGTTGATTAGCTTGAAATCTACCCAGATAGTCAGTAAATAAACAATGTTTTTCTATTAACTATGCAAAAACAGCTTTTAAATGAAAAAACTAAAACAGCTGTCAGCTTGTAAAACCTGCTTTATTCTATGTAAGAATGTACAACTGTACAACTTAAGGAAGTACAACTGTAGGCGGAGCTTTGGCAATAGAGTTAAGTGTCAGGGTTTAACTTGAGATCTCAACCATGCAGCTGGTTGTTTATTCATCAAATAAAGTAAGATAAAATCTGCAAATTTGACACTGGACTTTATTTACATTAATTGTTTATTTCTTATTGCAGTAAGAGTTTCATTTTCTCAGAGTTCTTTTCCTTTTTTTTTAGCAAATATTAATTGGGTCATGCATGAATTTGTGGGCAGTGTTGTTTTTAACATAACATCATCTCCTTTCTTGATCTATTTGTTGTTATCCACTCTGCAAAGTTGCTTGGGTAACTGCAATACACAGTACACAACCAGAGAGAATGAATAATTGAGGAGGTGCCGAAACTTTCAGATGCTGGGGGTTTGTCATGAAACGCTGCTGCTCAAGCAGTAGGTGTTCCCAGGTGGGAGCACGTCAATAAAAAATGTCCAAAAGACGATGGGTGGAATTCAAGATCTGCCAGACTATAAGCTGTTCAGCGCCGGTCGGCCGAAGGCGCAGACCATCTTCTCCTGCTACCTCTTCAGCCGCTGCAGGTATGTTTCAAAACAGAATTAAGGAGCAGAAGTGAAATAAAGATGTGTAATCAAAGGTTATATTTTTAGGAGGCCATGGACTGAGTTTTCTCAAAATTGTATTCTTAATTTTAAATTTACTCACAAAAAAATTGGTCTTCTTGCAAGTTTGGAGACTGCAATGATATAAAGCATATAAATTAAATCAAAAGCAAATATGTGATATATTGTCCTACTGACTGGTATTAACCATCTTCTGGCTTGTCTCGACACTAAAGCAGTAAGAACTAATGTAGTCAAGGTCATTTATTTTGTTATGATTAAGTGCCCTGATGTTCTTAATGTAGAAAAACGGTGTATATTTTTTATATGCATCATTAGGTTACCTACTGCTCATATTAGCTAAGATAACCACCATGTAAAATGACATACTCTCAAGGGTTCCTATTAGTTCTTACATTTTAGCTGCATTTTCTATGTAGTTTGGAGTCTGTCTGAGAAAATTCTCATTGTCTTCTCCTTTATCACTCCCATCTGTTGTGGAAACTGAAGCTAATGTCTCATGTTACCCACAGCCTGTTGGGAAGGATGCTTCCTAGGAATGAGCTCAGTGTTGTTTATTGATATGTCTTTATCTGAAATGTGAGGTAATGGCTGAGTTGTCTATATCCAGCTTACAGAGAAAGCAACCAATGTCTGAAAAGAAAGCTCAACTGGGACAGCTCTGACAGCCTATCCTCCCATTACCATAGAAACCAGGCAGATTAAATTATTCTACAAATACTGCAGTCAAATTTGTAGCATCACAGACAGATATGTTTTTATTATTAAACTGCATTATTGTTAATTATGTGATTCATCACAGAATGATTAAATCCTGATATTATTAATGATAGCACAGTGTCATTGTTGCTTTTTCACTTTTTTTTCTCCAAACTAATTAGAACATGACAGTTGGTGAACAATTGGTGAGTTTTAAGAATTAACTGTTACCTCAGTGCATATTTACTTAAATGAGCCATATACACACCAATTATCTTTAATTTATATATATATATATATATATATATATATATATATATATATATATATATATATATATATATATATATATATATATATATATATATATATATATATATATATATATATATATATATATATAGATGTAGTTAGTCCAGATGAAAAGGAATAGCCTCCTTGATTTCTGCAGTTTTAACTTTTTGTAGTTCTTACATGTTTCAATTCATCAAACCCATTTAAATATTAACCCAGGTAAATAGAAAATTTGTTGGGTTTCTTTTCTCAAATTATGTTTTTATACTTTATTTCAAGATTTCAAAAGAAAAATCTATTTAGGCCTACCTATGTTGTAACTGTGTGATAAAACAACTGCTTCCATAACCTAAACAGTGGCTTATGCCTCTTTTGGAAATAGCAAATATTCCTTGTGAATTTTGCTTAGAACAAAGAAAGAAATGTGAAATACAACATTGATCACACTGTTAAGTATGTGGACAATATAAAATGCTTTAGAGCACAAAACACATTAAGCCTTTGAGATTCCAGGCCATTTTAATTAAGAATCTTAATTGGCCGAGTCAACAATCCCAAAATGTGGGTGTCATTTGGTCTTTCAACTCAAGAAGAAAGAAAAGAAGAAATACAAAATTGTATGAAATATTAACCCTCTTGGTCCTAAGAGTAAAATCCCATAGCAGCAAAACAGATCAGTGCAAACCAATAATCTGGAAGAATGGTCACACCCCTCCATATCTAAATGGTACGACCTTCCATATTATTGCAGAAGCCTAAGTACTATACTTTTAGCAAAATATTGCTGAACTATTAACAGCATTTTGTGAAATGCTGTATAAGCTGCAAACACTATAATGTACGGAAGAGGATTAGGGCAACTGAAAAAAAAAAGTTAACTGATTTTTAAATTTAATTTCAGTTTAACATGGGAAAAAAGTCAGAATTCTGACTTTTTTCTCAGAATTCTGACTTTTTTTCCATGTGAAACTGAAATAAAATTTAAAAATCAGTTAACTTTTTTTTCAGTGGCCCTAATCCTCTTCAGTAATAATGAGTGCAGGAAAGCTTCTTAAAAAAATGTGAAATGGCCCTTTAGTCTTGCCCTAATCAGATTACTAATCAGGTACATATTGAAATATTATTAGCCTCTAGCAGTGTGCACCCATATATGGATAAGATTGGACAGCCTCTTCATCAGAAGATGAGAACAGGTGCCAATCAGTTTGGGAAGCTTTAACGTTCACAAAAAACACAGTAAAAAAAATTATAAGACAAAACCACTTGCCATACTGGGCGTCCGGCAAATTTCCAATGGGCGTGGCTATGAATGCACCTACTCGACGTCATTTCAGTTGAGTCTCATGTTTACGTGGAAAATATGGCGGCGGACTACAACCAAGGGGATAGCTTGTGATTCCAAGCCAAGCCTTTAGGGAGGGTCGAGGATTGCATGTGGATGGTCGTTTGGTGCATGGCGCGTGTTTTGAAGCTGCTTATGGAGAAATGTCTTGGGCCGTGAGTAGTGAGGAAACAGGAAGCGATTCTTGTGGGATGGAAGAGGGAAATAGTGACAATGAAGGTTGGAAGATAGCAACATCAAAAAATGAGAAAAAGCGGAAAAAACAGAGATCAGTTCAAGGGGAATCTAGTTCAGAACAATCCAGTGATGATCATTCCATACATTCCACAGCACAACAGAATGAATTCAAAGTCATATTCAAAGTCGTTAATCAGGCAGACTCTTTTACAAATTGGAATCCGGTTCACTTAACAAAAACCATCAATAAACTTGTCGGAGAAGTCAAAGGTGCCAGAATTCTGTACAGTGGAGACCTGCTAATTAACTGCAGAGACAGCGCCCAGCAAGGCAAAGCAATACGTATCAACAAAATTGACGGGATAAGAGTTCAGTGCAGCTTAATGGAGAACAAAAAGATCAGCAGGGGAGTCATTGGAGGAGTTCCTCTAAAAATTTCTGAAAAAGAGATTCTGGAAAACATAAGCGGTGCAAAAGTAAAAGAAGTAAAACGGTTAAAAACAACAAGAAACGGAGAAAGATCTGACAGTTTATCTGTGCTAATTAAATTCGAAGTAGAGCAATTACCAAGCAAAGTATTCATCGGTTACATAAGCTATAATGTCAAAATCTACAATCCTCCACCATTGAGATGTTTCAAATGCCAAAAATTCGGTCACATTGCAGCAGTTTGTAAAGGGAAACAGAGGTGTGGAAGGTGTGCAGGAGAACATGAGTACGGAAAATGTGGAAAAGAAGCTAAAATAAAATGCTGTAATTGTGGTGGAGAACATACTGCTGCCTATCGCGGCTGTGAAGCAAGCAAAAGGTCTGAGGAAATTAAAAAAATGAAATTTGAGCTCGGAATAACCTACGCTGAAGCTGCAAAAAGGATCCCATCTCAGTCAGAAAAACCCAAACCTACAGTTCAACACACGGCAAATTCCAAACCTCTAGAGAAATCTCTAAAAATTGATGAAGACTCACTTATTGTTAAAAAGACAAATTTTGTTCTTTTCATGGTAGAAGTGATTAATTGTACTGCACAGACAACAACAAAAACGGAAAAAATCAAAATAATAGTGAAGGCTGCAGAAAAATATCTGGACATTAAAGATTTGAACTGGGAGATGGTTGGAAGTATGATGGGAGGACCGATGGGACCATCAGAAACTGTCAGAGTTAAGATGACCTAGAGTAAATTAAAATTATATGGGCAAATGTGATTTAGTATTATGTTGGTTTAAGTTACACAGGTTTTTTTTTTTTTTTTTTTTTGGGGGGGGGGGGGGGGGGGTGAATCGTTTCCTGTTTTCTTGCTTTACTCCATATCAGTTGGTGGCGGTAATGCACAATTCACAAGTCTGCCAACCGCCATAAAATCCCATAAGAAGAAGAAGAAGCCTTTAGGGAGACAGTCAGCTTTTCGCTACGAGACTTCGCTGTCGGCTGGAATATTTCTTATGAATGAAGCAGTTTTCTTCTTGTTTCAGCCACGGAGACAGCAGGAATGGAGGACGAGGAGAGACAGAAGAAGCTAGAGGCCGGCAAAGCTAAGGTGGGATTTAAAAGTCCTGAACACGTCTTACTGCTCCAAAGTTCTCCAAATTGTTCTGGACGGACTTGTCTTTCCGTGGTTCTGTTCGTCAGCTGTTTTGACCCCCCTCCTCTTCTTCATACCACCTTCTCAGCTGTCATGCGCCCTGCTCTGTCTGACAGCTGAGAGGGAGGAAGGAGGGGGTTAGCTGCTGCTACTGCTAGCCAAGGCTGCCTTTGTCATGCCTCATACCTGACATTTTTTATTTATTAAATGCTTTCTGTTTCTTTTCTTTAATTGAACAAGTTACACTGTTAAATAATTAGTTTACCCTTTGCATCGTTCTTTAAGGCTTATAAAAGGCTTCTGATGAGCCAGTCACATGCTGGTGTAACAGGATTTACAGGGTATATCCCTCCTGGTTAGATGAAGCCTTGTTTTACCTGCCAGAAATGCCCTGCATGGTTTAACTAACAGAAATATGCATGGGAGGCTCTCTATGGTGTTTAGTGTAGCCCATTGAATAAAACATTACAAAGAGCAGAAAAATAATTGTTTGTTTCTTAAACTGGATGGGTTTGAATAGTATTTTTAAAACTTCTTTTAATAAAAAAAAAATGACAGCAGCTGAAGAAATCCCAGGCTATGATGTTTAAAATACTAATCCTCATGTATCATGTTTGTCAAAATATCTCCATAAAGGCTGAATCAGATCTCTTAAGACCAGCAAGACTGGTAGATCAGTTGATACTAAATGAACAATTTGATCCAGCTATATTACACATTTACTAATGATAGAAATGATATTACACAGAAGCATCAAATACAGCCATGTTATCACAGAGTTGGGTCTCAGTTCCTCTAGTGTGAAAACAAAGCTGTGATTGTTGTGTCTAGGTCTTGATAAAACTTGTAGCTGCCCACTGAAGGTCAGCTGGCTTCAACTAGGCTGTAACACTTTTATTAAGGTGGTACATTTTATTAAGGTGATACTTTTTTTAAAGGTATGAGAAGCTTGTCTTGTTTAATCCCACCAGAAGCGGTTTGTTTGAGCAGCAGAGAAGACAAGCAGAAATAAAAAAGTACTGACCGGATAGCAGCTAATAGCAGCTCATTCTACTTGAGGCTCTTGTTGACAGCAGAACTTCAAAAGGGTATATTATTCTGCAAAATGCACTGAGAAACAAACTTCATTGTTGTTTTTCTTTTCTTTCTTTTTTTTCTTTTTTTTTTGCCTCGGTTTAACTATCAGAGTCAAAATAACAATAAACAATTAGGATGGTAATCATTATTGAATTTGGTTTTATTATTTTAGCTATATATTATATATATATATTATTTTAGCTATTATAGGAATTATTTGTATTTTTTGTTTTGAATACCATCAGTTGGATCATGTTGAGCATTTGAAACGTGCAAATTAGTGTGAAACGCTGGTGGCTTTCTTCAAGGCAAAAATATGTGGACAATCTGAGTGTCGAGATGCTGGGAAATCTGGCGCTGTGCATGATAAGGAAATTATAGTAAATTTTGTCAGAAAGACTTATACATCTTCAATGTGGTTTGAGCATCCAAGAGTTGTTATTTTATTTAATATTTGAGCTTTTAAATGAACTGAATTTATAGAGAAAATCTCCTTGGTTTTCCATCTTGTTTTTTTTTTTGTTATGAAAGGCCCCTTGGTTCTGTAGGCTAGTCTGCAGTGCCTGTATTTTTTATTTTATTTTTTATTTTTTTCCTCAGTGCTATGTCACCATGTCCTCACATGCACTAAAGAAATCACGGGGGTATTTTTTTTTTGGTGTGGTTGTTAGATCAGACCTTGCAGGGTTAGATAAAAGTGTGATAAAGCTGCTTCAATTCTAAAATTATGGAAATTCCTTCTTTGAAATTGAAGTAAACAACGCATCTGCTTCTTTGTCTCGAAACTCATGCAGGAATATATCTGAATGTGAATTTGAAGATAAAACTTACGCTCTTGCTTTTCTCTCTTTAACAATTGAATTAGGCAATTATGAATGTTTTGAATCAAGCAAACGATGAGAATTTGTTGAGTCACTCCAGACAAGAGGAAACTGGAAATTGTGGGCTGCTGTTGCCATAGAGTTGTTCAAGGTTGGAAGAATGCTGTGTTATCTTTTGTTTCACTTCAGAACTAAACATATTGACAAGTATTATGCCATTATGGTGATATATGAGCTGGGTTTATTTCCTTAATATCTGTGAAAAATAAGCTTTTAACGTCATTTGCTTTAGTATCTTTGTTCTTTTATTAATAAAGATCCTTTATGATCAGTTCAAACATCCATTCAATGATCCCATTAAATAACCACATTAAAATTGAAGGTAAGACCTTCATAAGACTAAGGTCATTTTGGTCGATCATCTTTACTTTGCAATAATCTTTCTTAGGCTTCCAGTTGGCCTAAAAGGTCAATTTCTCTGTCCGGTACTCTTGCTGCTTTTAGGACAGCTGATCTTCTTAACTTAGGCCCTAATCAGTCAGCTGGATGCATCCTGCCTGTCTCTGTGTAACAACCAGACTATAACTGGCACAGATTACGTAGCCGATTAATTGGCTCAGTTGACTCTTTTACTTTTATGATTTAGTGGCACAATTTCAAAATACTTAAACCTATGTTCAGCCATTCTGTGTTGCTTCAAATGGTATTGATCAGAAAGAACTCAGATGCTATGTACTTACTTTAGTTAACCTACAGCGTCTGATAGTTTTCAAATCATGATGGCCTCAGGTAGTGAATCATTGTGAAGAAGAAATAATGCATGTCCCAAAACACAGCTTTCCATGATCAAACATGGTGGTGGCAGCACTATGCTATGGGAATGTTTTTTTTTCTGAGCATGATGGGGAATACAGGAAAACCTAGAACAAAAATGTTAGATGGTGAAAAGACTTAAAACTGGTAAAAATACTGCAATCAAAGCTATAATGGTTTAAATGAAATTAATGTTTTCTAATGGCCTAATTAAAATCAGGACACAAAAACAACTGATTTTAGATTTTTATTTGGAGACAGTTTACATCTGATTTGACTGAATTTGATCAACTTTTATGTTTAGTTTTCTTAAAAACAGGGACAGGAACCAGTCGGTAAATGTGCCATTAGAAATATGTCCAGAACGCTCAGAGTTGTGACAACAAAAGATCTTTCTGTAATGTACTGAGTAAGCAGGATGATTACACAGATAGGATAAATATATAGCAAAAAAAAAAGAAAAAACAAATGTTAAAAAAAAAGGCTCTAATTTTCTCCCACACTACAAATCTGCACTTTTTTTTGATGGTCTATCACTTAATCACCAGAAGATGCATCACAGTTCTGAAAAGTGGCAAATTATGGAAAGTTTTAAGGGGGTATGAAGAGGATTTTATGGGAGCAGGACCCGGTTAGTGATAAAACATAAATTTTCAGCTGAAACATTTCAAAATTACCAGTTTTCTTTCTCATATAAAAAGTCTCAGTGAGTCCAGGTGAGGATGCAGAGGAATCCTCCTGTACATTTCCAATGTTTTAACATGTTGGTCATGAACTTTAGAGGGCCAAAACACAGCGCCTGTTTTCCTAGCTTGCTTTGTTAAAAATCTAAAAGCTTAAACAACTTTATTGAGGTCCGATCCAAGCAAGAGTATATGACTATGGTGTCGAGATCGACCAATACAAGATTTTTAAGGTTGATACTGATTATTTTGACATAATTATAACTGATTCCTGGTATGTGCTGCCGATATTTGTGGGCCAATGCTTGGAGAAGAAATGGCTTTTGCCTTTCTCCATTTATATAATAAAAAGTGACTTATTGACAACACATTTTAAACAGGTCTTAATTTAACCAAAAAAGAAACCTATTCTAACAGATTGAAAAAAACACTAACAATTTATATCAAATAGAGGGGGGTGGCAATGCATCTACTGCACATGATCACAAGGCAAACCTTTTACATCAAACCAAAATGTCGTCCAGCCGATTAAACAGCCAATCTCTACTAAGCGGCCTAGTCATGTACCATGACTGAAAAATGCAACTAAAAAACAATCAGCAGATAAACAATGTTAAGCTCTCTCTGCTGGCTGCTTATATTACCAAAAGCTAACTTGATAAATGGGCTATAATGGACATTATGTACCATAAACCTCTCCCTCACTTTAACTAAGGGCCCATGAATAAAATTGCTATGAAAAGTATCAGTAAGGCCAGCCTGGCAGCTTCTTCCTTCTGCTTATTTCAGTGAACTCTAACATTCATGTGGTTTTCTGAGTACTTCTCTTGTCTCATCCTATTTTGCATCCAATAGTTTGTTGAGCTTTATCCCTCTTGATCTCGGACCTGTGTTTCTTTTCTCTTTTCTCACCTCCATTGAATTTTGCTGATTTCAGCTTCATCGTTTCTCCTGCAGACTTAACATCTGTCTGTGGCTCTTACTTGTTTACTCATTGCACACATGTGCAACATCGTACCTTCAATCATAGGGTTTTGATATGGTAAATATTGGGGCAAATTGAGACTAATGGAATAAGGGGCTTCCCAAAAAGCTTAACTAAAAAACCTTAATTGATTATTGAACTAAATCCTGCCTTTAGTTGACTGAGCACTTAGAGCAGTTGTTATACCAAAATGTTAAAAACGTACATATAAACATTTAGCATTCAAGATAAAAAAAACTTTTTTGTCGGTCAAAAAAATAATCTTCTTTAAGGAACCTTTTTCTCTTTGATTATTAATCAAACAGATTAATCAATTAGCAAGATAGTCATTAGTTATACCCCTAATAAATATGCAAAAAGCACATTGTTTACTAAAATACAGAGCAAAAATAAAAGTGTAAGGTGAAGAAATAAAGTATAATACACCTACAAGGTGTAATAATATAAATCTAGGACCTTTGTATGGAATGCGAGTGAGCTAGTCGTGTAGAAATTCATAACATCATAGTATGTGACCTGTAGGGCTGGCTCCCTGTTGAGTGGATCATTGATCTTTCTAGTTTGGTTCCTTATGTG